TTAAAAATTAATATACTGGTTACAAGTCCTTCAAATGCGCTGTGACAACGTCTCAGGACGGTTGTGCTGCAGTGTGCCTTTGCCAGTTCAAAGCCCGGATGTGATTGACAGAAACATGGAAAACTGCATGATTTTTATGGTCCTGGTTTGGGATTTCTCCATTTCATTTTCTAATACAAGAGGAATCTCGGAAAACTACAGGGAGCCTGGACCTCTCTGGACCTCCGAAGGCTCCAGCTTGTCACGGGGTCACCGAGGAGAGCAAAAGTCCCTCAAATAGCCCCGTGATTTCCGAGGGTACACTGTGCTCTGGGGGTACAGAAGCCAGGAAGACCCCCCAGGCCCTCTGGCCGCCTCTCCCCGCACTCTGAAGCAGCCAGATTCGCAGGGAAGTGAGCGCAGCCCGTTATGAAATTTTTGTTATGAAACACATTCCCAGTAGGATTCAGGGAAGTTAATTTTTTCCAAAAACTCTGCTGTGTTGAAAAATTCCTTTCACTCAATTCAACATGATCCTGTCTCGGCCAAATGTCTTTCTGTCCAGAAAGAAAAATTAAAAAATAACAGCATTGCACATGGGGTTAGGTGAGAGGAGGGCCCAGACCTCGCTTTCCCATTTGGTTAACTTGAGGCTTCTATTTAAATATTAATTCGTTTACCCATTTATTAATTTATAAAAAATAAAATAAAAAATAATAAAAAAATTAAAAAATAAATATTAATTCGTGTCTTCGCAGAGTCTTAAAGATTCACAATGAGCCTTCAGCATTAGCATTTTTTTTTTTTTTTTTGAGACAGAAGTCTCACTCTGTCATCTGGGCTACGTGCCGTGGCGTCAGCCTAGCTCACAGCAACCTCAAACTGCCTGGGCTCCAGCCGGAATCCTCCTGCCCTCAAGCCTTCCCAAGAGCTGGGACTAACAGCCATGCAACACCTGCCCGCTAATGTTTTCTATATAGACTTTTTAGTTGCTCCCAGCTCAATTTCTTTCTATTATAGTAGAGACCGGGGGTGCTCGCTCTTGCTCAGGCTGGCTTCTTCCAACTCCTGAACCTTGAGCGACTCTCCACGTCCCGCTCTCCAGAGTGCTGCGGATCGACAGGCGTGAGCCACCGCCGCGGCCCTGCTGTGGTGCGC